GGATCGCGCAGGGGTCTACCGGTAGTGTTGGGGTCTTCGATAGGTAGCAATCTCTTCTGGATGTGGCAAAGGATCTCCACATTCTCGTCATCAGTAAAGCTCTCCTCGATTGCTCCCTTTGGCTTCTTTGATGGTGCGCGAACTTCGACATCCTCTGGCTTCTCTTCTTTCGGAAGGATCGACTCAACAATTGGGGCTCGAATGAATACGCCTCGGAATGGTGCCTCGTCTTTTCCCAGAAAACTGAGATTTAAAGGAGTATCAAAGGATTCTACCTGACGACCGAAGTGATTGCGGTTCACACGAACGGAGAGACCTCCGATAAGGGCTTGACCGCCTTTCTTGGTGCGGTTGGCAGCTTCGCTGAGAAGGATCATGCCAGCGCATGTGCCCCAAGTAGGGCGACGATGAACTTTGACAAACTCTCTGAGAGGCTCGAGGATGTTACTGCGTTCAGCGACTAAGGCCATCGTAGTGCTCTCTCCACCTGTTTCCCAGTTAGCTGCTTGCTAGAAGGGTTGTTCCCAGGGAATAGAAGAATGCACCAGGAATAATTAGAGCCGAGCATCTCTCTAAATCAGTTGGAGTCTTGACCATGACAAACTCGAGCTTTTTTGGGGTTTCTATTTGTTCTGCAGCCCCCTTCAACAACTGCAAGTGCTCTGAAAATGCCCCTTGGAGAGCTATTTACAAGTGTTTGTTAGAAGCACCGCTTTTTCCGATTTTTTTCTCAATAATAAACAACTGGAGAAAAACGACCTTACCAAGAACCCCAACGGCGATGTTATCATTGCCCGACATTTTTTTTTTTGTATGCTGTCTGTAGATGAGATGTTTGAGTCACTCGGAACTAGCTGGCCGGCGATGTAAAGTTTTCGTATGATAGGTCAATTTTTTTCCCACAAGGCTAATTGTGTTCGCTTATCGATAAGGAGCTTGGCACATGGAGGTCCTTTTTACTCGGGGCGGCTGTGTCCAACTCTATTAAATTTTGTTTAAATGTGACAATGTCGAAATTGTCGCGAAACATAGAGCTAGCACCGTAAAAAAAAACTTGAATTATTGGGCTATGTGCTATGTAGTTAGCTTTTACGACGGCACGCAGGAACAAAAGTCTATAATAACATCAAAAATACGGTAGCTCCCTAGCAACCAACTTAACAATGAAAGATTCAAGGATGCAAAGCTAGAAACAATAATTTGGGTGAGATGAATACTATTATCACTTGCATGGTAATGTGCTAACAACACTATTGTGTCCTGCAATAGAAGTGATAGCCTAGTTTGTGCAGTGAACCACATTATCGCTTCCTGTCATGAAACCAATGTCATAAACTACCCATAAATCTATCCTCAGCTATAAGCGTTAGAAATTAATCCTCTTGGTTGCTCACTACATACCCACTCATTTCTGCAGAACTAGCAATACAGCCACCACCCGATACAATATAGATTATTTAAGATAAGCGCATTAGATCTCGTTACCGGCAAAGCTCAGGAAAGTGTAGCAATCAGCAAATTACAGTTGGATTGGAGAAGCACTCGGAAGACCAATCTAGCAGTCCACAACGAGGACAAAATCCCCAGTGTTTAGAGGGCGGCCTGGATTGATGCTATGATAAGTGCCATAAAGGCACAACTACAAACAAAACAAAACGCCTCTTCTAGTCTATGCAATCGAAACCGGAGGGACAACCATGTAAATTTTACCATCGGGATTAGGGCGCCGAGTGATAATTCATGACATTGCTGCTAGGCCTAGTGGTAACCCTTCAAACAAAATAATGGTCCATAGCATAAGTACCCTAAGTTTTCCCCGATAGGCCTCTATATAAGCCAAACACTTCCGCTTTGGCTTCCTCCAACTTCTCCAGCCACCTTCAACTTCCTTCATCTCCACGCTTTCCTCCGACTCTAAGAACCTGTTTGGATACGACGGTTCTGTTCCGTTGCCCCATACAAATGACCGTTTCCCTTCCGTTTTTACCGAACAAGCTCTAGACTTCAAACTTCAAACTCTTCTTAAAACTCGGGCAATCAATCTTCTAAATTAATGATGACTACTGCTCAAAAGATGCTTATTGGTCTCATTCTCCTCTTCACTTTGCTCACTCTCACACTCGCTATCCCCGCAGCGGCTCCGACGGGCCGAAATCACTCCAGGCAAGCTAGAGACCACCCCATTCGACATCACCGACCTCCCAGTCAACCACAACTCGACCGCAGTCCCCGAAGACCCGAACGCAGCGAGCTAGTTTCACTACGAGACCTCCATGGTGTCTCCTTGGCTCTTGAACGCCCGTGCCACGGTCAGCAACCTCTACAAACACCGTTATAGTAACTGCTGCCAAAAAAGCCCGGGAGGTTCCAAGTGCAGTTGCTTTGCGTATCATGGCAATACTGATATGGCCATCTGTGGAATCGAGTATCGGTGCCTCAACTGTGGATATGTGGCTGATTTGACGGACGTTCTCAACAACGAATGGACAACTAGGACAGAATTGGTGGGAGGCACTACGTAGATCAGGGCCTAGGATTATTATTTATTAGGGTGTCGAAGGTTGGGAGATGCGGCAAAACTAAAAAAACAAACAAATCATAAAATAAACGAACACGGTTTTATTTTAAGTCTTCCTGTTATCTTTGTCTTTCGTGCTTTGTGATTGTAGAACTCGAGTGGGATTGGCGTCGGCCTTGAGCCTATATATCTCACGGGTAGGTGAGTAGATAGAGGTTCGTTTTCCCGCTAACAGGTTTGCGTATTAGTGAAGTTGAGTCAGCAGTTACCCCTACAAGAACGTGGATAATACAATTTTCCTTTAGGCAGATATTTTAACTCTTAAGAAACGATTGTTCTATCCTTTCATAGCCAGAGATAGGAACAATCTCAAGCCTTCTCTACTCTATGCGCTCCATCCATATACAATACCCCTACTTCTCCCCCACCCCATTGCCTTTGATATCCTAGTCGCGTGCTCCATATCCGACAATTGATTTAACATAAAGTGCGAAAAAGCGGCTGCTAACAAGCCCTAGTGTTTGGAGTCTAACCAAGCTGTCCCAAGCCCCTACTGCGGATCTTGAGCCGTTCGGCCCGGTGACCTCCATGGCAATTTGAAAAATCTAAATGAAAGAAGCTTAGCCTCGCTTAAGGTAATGTGCCTCTCGATACAAATCACTAGAATAGTTTAAAACACGCATGCCTAGCTCAAGGGAGCTGTATCCTGTGTATGTATGATCTCTTAAATACCCTCGCAAGAAGCCATATAGAGTCTGCGTCTGATATTTTTACCAGACATCATTGCTGCCAAAACGGCCTCCTCTAGCTTCAAGCTCACACGGACACTCCGAATCTCCATTCTGAGCCTTAAAATTACCATGGCGGCCACCATCACATTGGATTTCCGATCTTCCCCTTCCTTTATCTACAGCTCTATGATTAATCCTATCGGGGGGAAACAGGCCTCAGCGAAAACAAAACTTCATCCAGGACCTTACCGCATTACGGCCATAGATCACATAATCTCTAGTCTATCCTACGCATTTTCCGGGCTCAAATACACCTGCGCCTGGTGCCACAGAGTGAGCGAAAGCTGGGAGAGCCGAACCAAGCCCGAGCGGGACCGCCACAGCCTTAGACGGGCCGAAACACTACTGAGTTGCCCTGCGAACCCAAGCTAGAGACAGACGTCTCGGCCAGTTGAATACCCGTAGTAGGCAAGAAGGGTCCGACATCAGGGTTGTGAATTTGTATAGCGCTCTAATACACACAAATCTTTTGCCATATATTTTGTGAATCCTTATTATTAAATATTTCTTGCCCGCACCGAGTATTCCATGCTCGAGCATTGCCGCTCGCTCAAGCCCCATAGATGCTTGTCCCACAGAAGGGAGCCGCCACCGCCGACTGCTCCAAGCACCAGCAAAGGACTCCCGAGCTTTACTAACCCTTATTCGATTAGGTTTTCGTTCGGCCGCTCGCGCTAAGCATGCCTAGACCTTTGTTCTAGTCCAGATCTTCAATGCAAGAGTGAGAATTCATGATCTCATCCGCCCTTCAGCCTCAGGCAGACAGCATAAATATCCCGTTATTCCTGCCTCTGCTAGCCACCGCCGAAAGTCAAGTATGCCCTTCCATCCCGGGTATCCCCGGACTACTAGCATTATAGCAGGGCGTCCGTCATAGCCCAGTCCAATCAAGTCTCCCTTCCCCAGAAGAAGCCATGCATCACTTACCACCAGGGACTATTTCTCCTTTTTCTTTCATTTTCAGGCTGGCATAAACCCAAGACGAACTAGCTCCGATCACATGCGAGAACAAGTCACTCATCAGTTAGGGGAGGGGAAAGAAAAGGAAAAAGGAAAAAGGCGTGAAGAGAAATCAGGCTGGCGACAGAGATTCTCATGAGAAGAAAGGCTACGGAGCCAGCAAGCTAAGCCCGCCAAGCGTCCATAAATGGCTAAACCGACTTCACTAAGGGTTCAAGATCCACAAGCCAACAATCCCCGGGGTAATCCACTCTACCAGCAGCAGGCATGAAGTATCCAGTAGAAACGAGGATTTGTAGAATATACGGCAAATAATCGGTGCGTTCTGGTCCCCCCGCACGGTACAAATTTACGACCCCTTATTTTCGGATGCTTCTTGCTTGCTACGAATGGAATCGTGTCGGGTGGTACGTCGGGAGCCTAAGTACGCAGATGGTGCATGTTAAGTGCTGACACTGATACAGATGTCATAATGAGATAGCCTATAACCGCAGATTTATATTTTTACTTCAAAAACATATTATAACATCTTTATTGTTTCAAATAAATGCTTAGAGAGTAACTGAAAATGTATTCCTCAAGACCCAATCCCATGGGGTTGATTGGTATTTCTTGGCGCTCGAAGGTGGATCGTCTGTGTGCCACCACACGATTATGCATGCACCCGGCAAAATTTCAACCATACAAACTTTAATAGGTATAAGATTCAAAGACAAGATGACAAACCATATGTCAGGATGTCCGAGTGGTTAAGGAGTTTGACTTGAATTAACTTGTTTCCTACAAGCAAAACTCATGGTATCAAATGCGTTCGCGCGCGCAGGTTCGAATCCTGTTCCTGACGTTTCTTTTTTGTTTTTTTTTCCTAAAACAAAAAAAAGACTGACACAGCTCTCTCCCACGGGTCTTTGCTAAGAATGCCTCCGCTGGCCGATGTCTCGCTGGGGTCTACGCTAAATATTCGACTCACGGGGGTATTCTGGGTAAAGATGCATGAGTATGCAGGCTAAGGGAAAATTTTATTTATCTTGTGATTCAGCGATGAACCAACCGTTCGGTTTCCTGATCTGCACTCCGGATCCGAGGGAAGTGCGTGAAAAAAGGCCAATTGGATAAGCAAGGAAGCGGAGGCTGAGGCTGAGAAAAGTGGGAAGGTGCAGTTGCTGTTCCTGTATCCATGAGGGTACTGGGCCGGTATGGTCGCACGGGACAGGACGTTATGGGATATACTTCGAAGATGACGAAAATTGCACTTTGTACAGTATGTTCTTCACAATGCTGCAGGCTTGTGTATTAGCACGCTCCGTGATAGGAGGGGTAAAAATAATAAAAGGAAACGGGAAATCCGTGAATGAGCCTGAACAGGCTGTATGTGCTAGAGCGGCTAGCTCAAACCCTTGGGCACTTTTCTCTCCAGTTCTCATCTCAGACTACTAGAGGTTACATATACTCGTAGCTGTGTGATGATATGTATACACGTATGGGTTGCAGTCACTACTCGTAGTTGAACGGCGTTTATGAACACGACCGCTACTGTAGGACACCAAGATCTAAAGAAAAGCTGGGCGGTATACAATAGCAGTCGCGTTCACAAACATTCAATTACGATTGTCATTCATGCCCATGTAGTGGGCGGCGCTCCCGAATTTAGCCTCACTTGGTATACCTTGCCGGCAATTCCCCGGAGGGTTACATCTGCTTTACGTCGGATCTCTACGCCTCATTTTGCCTTTCAAGTCTTCCCCGGCAGTGGCCCCTTACCCCCCGGAGACCTAACGCACCTGGAGGGGGGACGAGTGCGGGGGAGGAGCGAGGCCCCATACAAAATTTGATGTTGTCAAATTTGTATAGGTGTTCACCCCCCTCCGCACCCGCCCCCCCTCCAGGTGCGCCACCGAGGATGTTACCAAGTTGGGCCGCTTCTGAGGGAGGGTGAACACGCGCAAGGTTGATAAAAATCAAAACATGGTTATGTCGAGACAGACAGGACTCCTACTATTGCTGCGGTGTTAGATGATATTTGTCAGCCATGCTATTGCCATATAACTAGAAAAAATATATATACCGATGCCCGAGGGGAGTGAGTAAGTAATGGCAATTAGTCCGGTCTCGATGGCGTGCGGTTTTTTCCATGCCGCTATTGTCGTTGGCAGTCAGCGTGGAGGGCGTAAGAACCAAGCATATATACATGAAGGGGAAAACAAAGAATTGAAGAATAAAATAGGAAAACCCCCAAAAGGAAAAGGAAAGGGTGAGAAAATGAGAAGAAAATGAGAAGAGAGGGGAAAGGAAAGGGAAAGGGAGGGAGGAGAAGGAGAGGAACAAGCAAAGAAAAGAAAAGACATCTAGGAAAATAACGACTGCATTATGTTCCCCCATAACCCATCCCATCTGCGCCGTCAAAATGATAAACCCCCACCTTCCATCCGTCCTCAACCCATTTAAATACAACCGGCAAAAAATTGATGAAAAGAAAGACTGCCCCCCGATGCGGAGTGGTACGGGGGGAACTCCCGGCGTCTGGGGAAGGAGAAAAGAACTATACGGAGAGATGCTTCAGTGCAATCGAAACATGCTCTTGTGCAACCTTTTTCCACCTCTCCTTATCATCCAATTCAAAATTCTCGCTATTAAAGATTGAATATAGTTGTCTGGAAACCTTCTTGTTGATCTCAGTAAACTCCTGCTTCGAAATCATTGTAGGGTACATTGGCTGCAAGATCGATGTGACCAGGCTCGCAAGGCCTTGCTTAGCCTCGGGGGTTAGGCAGTTGATTGACCTTCTTTTGCGAGAATCCTGCTGATCCTCGTTACCGCTGGAGTCGCTGCCCGACGGTGGCGACGGGGCTTGATAAGGTCGTTTGTGTGAGGATGAAGCGGTAAGAGGAGGCCTCTCCCAGGGACGAGAGAAAATTGGCTGGATCGGAGATGCAGGTGTTCGACGTGTTGGAGAGGAAACTTTCCCAGAACTTCTCCTGATCGGGACCTCTGCGGTTGGGGAGTCGGGGCAGCTCATGAGCGGTGATGTAGAAATTTCTGGAGATGCTAACCGGCGACCGGAACAAGGTGCGGCTGAGCAATCCGGTGGTACCACACCCGGTCTCACGCCGTCGACTAGGGCCGCAGTGCTTGACGGAGAATATTCCAAGCCCTTTTCGATGTAAGACATGATTTGTGAATAGGCGCTTGGCGAAGATTCTGCGCCTTCACTGATAGGGGGCTGACGAACGTTTGAGAACGAAGTTATTGGGGTTATGTGCGCCGCGTGATTCTTCATAATCGGGCCATCGCCGGTATTGACCGACAATTGCGAATCGCGTCGAGTGCGTGGGCGTTTTCGCCGTACTTCCTCCTCACGTTCTTCCGAGCTCCTGCTAGGGCGAGAGCTAGATCCTACGTCTCTCTTCTTCGATGGCCCTATGCAAGGATCACTTAAGGGGCTTCGATCCCCTTGGATCCCCGTATCCTGGGACTCCTTTAGAGCTAACTCAAAAGTATCCCACAGTTCCTTCTCTTCTTCGGAGATAACCTTCGGTTCTTGCGGCCATGCGGTTCTAGTCCTCCTAACTGGTTCCGTCCAGGCCACCGGTTCAACAAAAGTGCTCAACCCTCCAGTCTGGGCTGCAGCAACTGCTCGTCTCCTATTAGTTCTGGTGAGAATTGAAATGATTTGATTCTCCGTGCCGTCGTCATCGTCTTCATCGTCATCTCGTAGACTATGCTCGGCTTCAAGACGCTCCCAAGCAGATTCCCAAGCAAGCTGCTCTCGAGCTACCAACCTCGCACGTTGAAATCTAGGAAGTGGTCTAGTCCGAAGAGAAGGATTACCCCCGAATGAGCTGCCACTATTCGTTATGGCCCTTTGCTCTCGCAAGGCACAACGCCGACAAATCAAAACGTTAGCAGGTCGTCGTGGTTCCAGACAGTCAACATGGTAGAACCTCGCACAGAGGCCGCATAAAACAGTTTGTCCGCGATCGCCCAGGTAACAGTGGCTACATTCGGCGTTGGGGGGGCGCTCGTCATAGGCTACCGCAGCTTCCAGCTCCCGGGCGGCATCCAAAATATCAAGATCTAGTCGGATCTCATCTGCGACTTGTACCTTATCCTTAATATCATATTCCCGGATGACTTCGCCTATTTCGGAAATTAGCAGTTAGCAAAACTTCGATCGATCGAAAATAGGAGACCTAGATGACTCACTATCCAAAGTTTTCGAGACGCTAACCTCGTTGAAATTGGTACGGCAAAGGGGACAGCTGTTTGCCCTCTCTAGCCACAGCTGAAGGCATTCGTTATGCATTGTATGATTGCAAGGGTTCAAGCGAGCAACATCCTCATCGACACCTGCCGAAGGTGTACCCCGAAGGAGATCGTTCAGGCAAAAGATGCAAGCGACCGGTTCTTGTTCCACATCGGTGGAGGAAAGCGCATATTTTGTCGGCTTTGGTGAACCAGGTGGTTCAGAGGGTGGAGAAGGGGCGGAAGGTTCCATATTGCTGGTTACAGCAAAGGTGTTGAGGCCCGAGTTGGTGGTCGATAAAGTTCTGTTCTATTGGAGCAAATAGGTAAGAGGAGTACGTCGCGGCCGGGGAGTGAATGGATCGCGGGAAAGAGAAAAAAAGGTTGAGGTTCATGGGGAGCGGCAGGTGGGCGAGGACCGCGCTTTATGTAACAATATGCCAAGACTTCAAGTTATTGGTTTAAGCGGGGCGAAACCGACAGGGCACGACTCTGCGTAATCCTCAGCCCTGCAACGCAGCGCGTGCCGCCAAGCCCTTTATTCCCCACGAAAGTCGATAAGCTGTCCAATACGCGCTAAGCCGATTTCACTTACCGCATACCGGTTAGTCGGTTTTTCTCCAGCTGTGTGTGGCGGATTTAATCTGATCGAACCAAAGTAGGTTAGGGGTCAGTTCCAGTAGCGCTATTCATACCAAGGTTCCCAAATAAATGGGACGTGCTAGTTGGTCACGTAGCTCTGTAGACAGGTTTGCTAAATAAAAACCCCAATTCAAGCTGTATGATATCAACTTCTGAGGAAGATCCCGGTTTTTAAAGGACCCGTTCTTGCTAATCCTTAGTAGAACTCAGAGCGCTGTAGGGCAAGGATTAGCCTGGAACTGCACCTGTTATTGCACGGTAGATGTCGAGGAACATTGAGAAGGAGGCCCGAAAACACAATGGTCTGCAGATTAGCACAAGCCAAATACTGCTATAGTGAGTGTAAGAGGGAATGGGTTTCCCCCTCTTCTGAGGATGATGGATAGCCTATTCCACGACTCAATAGTAAACAACACGACCATGTTTTCCAAAAGCTAACAAAGTGTGATGGTAAAAATACGCTCAAAAAGTAAAGGAGTTTCAGGCCAAAGACGCTTGTGACAAATTGGTAGCCGCGGTCGTAGCCTGAATCTTGCTGCTTCCCCGCCCCTAGCCCACACCGGAGTACCATACCCGTAATGCGGTACTAGTACTGGGCGGGGGGGGGTAGATTGGATGACTAGTAGTTGTCTAATATATCATACTCACCCGACAAATGCCAAGACCTGCAACCGTACGTTTTGGGTAGGTTGTTGTGCCCAGAATCTGGAGAAAACAACAGAAAAACATCTATTCAATTTCCTTCCCTCCATCCATCCTTCCTCTCCTCTCATCGCGCATTCCCATTAGATCCTACCACATTAAACACAACTACCACGCGAAACACAATACCACAACCGGCCCCCCCCCTTTGGTTTTCGCTATCCCTAGAAAGGCTTCGGATTTAGCCAGCATCAACGACCTATACGTCTGCCTCCGCCTCGCCCAATGCCACCACCGCGATCCACTCCAACAATCGGG